AACTATGAGGATCACAGAGGAGGCTTCAGCACGGTGGCTTGCTATGTTGACTCAGCCAGACTGCTTGAGCATCAGTCATGTGCACCACACGACTTGGGAGCCATAAATCACCTCTCCAAGATGTCCTTCGCAGGATATCATCACCCCACAGGATTTTTTCTTCAGTTCTGTGCTCTGACTATCAAGCAACATGAGTCCTTGCACTCAGGAAACAGCTTCTTCCTAGTTGGTCCATACTGGAGCCTGGCAACAGCTGGAGAACCAAGGAGAACTCGCTCAGCACATGGCTCCTCCTGCAGGAAACAACTCCCAGAAAACAACTGTGTTCCTCAACGCAACAGGAAAAGCTGACACTTCACAGGGACAGATAAGGGACTAAAAGCAAGATGGTCATGCCTGCTGCTTTCTCCTTCAGCTCAATTACCTGCACAGAAAATAGCTGGAAGGCAACACTGAAAAGATGAGCAATGGGTCCATATTTCCATTTACAGAGACACAGTTTAGGAGTGTTACTGTGGGTTCAGAGGACCTCAGAAACACTCTGACACTCCTTTTTAAAACTGAATGACCAACTTGTCTGACAAAGCAAACTCTTAACACTGAGCTGGGACATATATACTGGCTTTTATGTAGTTAATTTCCCTGCAGCAACAGCACTATTATTTTCAAACAGAGCCCAGCTTACAAGAAATGCCATTTCTCAATTTCTCTGCTACTATAATACATCACAGCTTTGACAGAGATTTGGCCCCAAATACTCTCACTAAAAGTGATACCAGTTCTGCTCCTTCCAAGTCCAGGGATGTAAGTACTGAGTCCCAAAACCTACATCAGAGCAAAGTAAATTAGTCTCTTGCAATAGAGAGCTACTTAGCTTGAGTAAATATAAGGAATTGTCCCTTCATTAATAAAATCATTTATATTTATAAAACACTTATCTCCACATTTCAAAGTGTTCTGCAAATTAAACACGTTTGCTGATCTAAACAACACTGTCTTTCACCGTCTTTGCTGTTAAAAGAGTAAAATGCTGGAATGCATGAAGACTGACAGAATCACAGGGGTTGGGAAGGACCTCTGGAGATCATAAAATCACAGAATGGCCTGGGTTGAAAAGAACCACAATGATCGCCTACTTTCAACCCCCCTGCTATGTGCAGGGTCACCAACCACCAGACCAGGCTGCCCAGAGCCACATCCAGCCTGGCCTTGAATGCCTCCAGGGATGGAGCATCCACAACCTCCTTGGGCAACCTGTTCCAGTGTGTCACCACCTTCTGGGTGAAAAACTTCCTCCTAATATCTAACCTAAACCTCCGCTATCTTAGTTTAAAACCACTCCCATTTGTCCTATCACTATCCACATTTATAAACAGCCATTCCCATTCCTGGTTTATACGCTCCCTTCAAATACTGGAAGGTCACAATGAGGACCCCCAAGTCCTTCTCCACAGGACTGCTCTCAAGGGGTTCTTCCCCCAGTTTGTATAAATACCTGGGATTGCCCGGGCCCAAGAGCACTTGGCCTTGCTGAACCTCATCGGGTTCACATGAGCTCACTTATCCAGTTCATCCAGGTCCCTCTGGATGGCTCTCCTTCCCCCCAATGTATTCACTGCACTGCTCAGCTTGTTGTTGTCTGCATTCACTTGGTGTCATTGAGTCCAACTCAACGTCCAACTCCCCTGCCACTCTGCTTTTGTTTATTTATAGCAGAAGAACACAAAGTTTTCCTGCTTTTCATACATCGTTTCCTCTCAAGGGTATTTTGCAGAGCAATAACAGAAGTAAACAGCCTTCTAAATAAAGACCTTCTAAATAAAGAGGGAAACGAATGCATAAGGACCAGCAGGAGAAACTCCACTTAAGTGGTTTGGAAATAAAAGGCGTCAAGAAAAGAAAACTTTGTTGCATTTCAAACCAACAACAGACTGTTAAGGTTTTTGATATCTTTCTGAAGTTGAGTGAAGTCGTAAGAAAGACAAATTCAACTCACCCAGGTCTGAAGTTGTTTGCCAGTGGTATTTTATGAACACACAAAACAGCAAGTAATGTCACCTGTTGCTTAAAAGGCTCATGTTCACCCAAGCTGCCATACCAAAACAACACACAGAGAAAACTGATTGAAATTCCTTCACGTCCCATTTGCTTTTTGTACTTGGCTAACTGTAAGAAACGTGAATATTAACACAACACTTCTTCCTTCCTTTGCAATCAATTCTACCTTCAGCTTTTCATGGTCTGGCTCAACGCTACTCAGCAAGCACTGCAGAGAACATCCACATTCACACTAAGGTCTAATTACATTTTGGAGGTTCAGCTATCAGGCTGTTCTATTGAATAATTCTAATTTAATAAAGTCAATATCCTCAGTGTTGCATCTAAATGCTGGACGTCAGCTGACTAAGGTATCAGTGCATGTAAGCCAAAGATTATTAGACAAATATGATTTCTTACTCAGTAAGAACTTAACACTCATTCTCATTTTATATTATTAAAAGAAACAAGAAGTTTAAATGTATTGAAGTAGAAATCTGGAAATCCCTTACAATTCTTCTTAAATTTCTGTTGGAAATTATAGAAAATATGCCAAAAAAAAAAAAAAAAGGAAGGTTATTAGAGAAAATGCAGCAGCAATTAATTTATACTATTCATTCTTCCACTACTCACAATTTACTGTATTTTCTGTAAGTGAAAATTACCCAGCTAGGACCTACCACACTGCCTCTCCCACTTATTCAAACTCGAGGCTGACAAAGAAATAATAAGCATAACACACTTGAAATTCACACTATCTACCTTTGGCCAAATGCAAGGC